TTCAGGATCAAGTTGTAATATAGTATCAGAACAAACCTGAAAAAGAAATAAAATCAATTATGAAAAAAAAGAAAGTGAAGTATCTCGAAAGTTATTTGCATACTCTAGTAAGAAATCACTTGAAGTCATAGGAAAAGTTAGAACAACAATGAAGGTGTCAGACCGTGAAAAAATAGTGAACATATTTGTGGTAAAAGGTAATAACCAATCATACTAGGGTATGAAACTTCAGTAAAGTTGGGACTCTTAAAAATTGGGTTAAATATAAATGAAATAACGTCAAAAACTTTTCAATACAAAAGTAAATACCCAAATCTGTTTAATGGGATTGGCAAGTTAAAAGGAAAACAAGTTCAACTCCACATCAACGAAGTTATCAAGCCAGTTGCACAACAACATAGAAGGATTCCAATACATTTGAGAAATCAACTAGAAAATGAACTACTAAGACTTGAAAAATTAGACATAATTGAAAAAGTGGATGGACCAACACCTTGGGTCTCTCCCATAGTCTTTCCTAAAAAAAATGGAGAAGTAAGACTATGTGTTGATATGAGAAGACCAAACGCAGCCATCGAAAGAGTGCGTCACGTGACCCCAACTATTGACGATATAATAAGTTCTGTTAATGGGTCAAAAGTATTTTCAAAATTAGATCTCAATGAAGGATACCACCAGTTAGAGTTAGAGTATGCTTCAAGGTCTATTACTACATTTAGCTCCCATGTTGGCTTAAGACGATACTAAAGATTGAATTTTGGAATTAACAGTGCGACAGAAGTTTTCCAAGACGAAATTAGACAGGTACTTGTAAATATTTCCAATGTAGTGAACGTCAGCGATGACATACTGATATTTATGCCAAATCTTAAGATGAACAAGACAAGATCTTGGAAAAAGTACTTAGTCGGTTACAGGAAAAAGGACTGACATTAAATTATGAAAAATGTTTATTCAGTGTCAAGAAGCTCACATTCTTTGGGTACCAGTTTAGTGAACAGGGCGTCAAGATAGATAAAAAAAAAAATCGAATCATTTATACAACTCAAGCCACCATCAAATGTGTCTGAGGTAAGAAGTGTACTAGGCATCATAAACTACTATGGCAGATTTATTCCAAACCTAGCAGAGAAAACAAAACCATTAAGAAATCTAATTACAGCAAACAGAAAATGGTCATGGAGCACCACAGAACAAACAGCATTTGAAGAGTTAGTAGAAAGTATTGTTAAAAATGTAAGTAACGCTTATTATGACATACATAAACAAACTGAATAAATTGTTGACTCAGGACCAGAAGTCATTGCTGCCATTTTGGCACAATCGCCGAATAAGATAATTGCTTGTGCAAGTAAGGCACTAAATCAAGTTGAAAAAAGATACTCACAGATAGAGAAGGAAATGTTAGCTGCAGTATGGGCGGTTCAACATTTAAAACTGTATTTATTGGGTTCCAATTTTATACTGAAAACGGATAACAAACCGTTAGTGTCAATCCTAAGCAGTCAAACAAAAGAGACATCTGTAAGGTTGGAATGATTCAGATTAAAGCTACAAGGATACAACTTCAAAGTAGTACAAACGAAAGGTAACACGAATCCATCAGATTTTATGTCAAGAAATCTAATAAATAATATGAAGAACAATGACTGGGATAGTGAAGTGGAAGAACATGTGAATACAATAGCAGAACTAGCAATACCAAAAACAATGGCAAGAAGAGTGGCAGAACATTCGAGGAACATTCATTTGAGCAAGTTTGTATTTCATGGAGGTTTGTTCATTTTAGATTCTGAGTGAAACGATGAATGTATTAATTTTACAATGATGTGTGGTTTTTTTTTTAAATTTTTTTTTGTGTCTGTCATCACGTTTTAGGACAGTAAAAGTGCTTCGATTTTCTTCAACAGTAGCTTTTCTGATAGGAAAGTGAATCTAGTTGGTACTTTGGGGGGTCAAAAGTTTATATTTCCAGTAGTTTTCAAAAGCGGCGTGAAAAAACAAAATAAAAATTAAGGAAAAATGAGAATTTTTACACTAAAATCTGTTTTCGAAAAAATATATTTTGGTTTTTGGTGTAACTCTAAAATAAATGAACGTATATACATGAAATTTTCACTAGTTGTTTATATTTGCATTTTATATACACCATAACATTTTCAAAATATTTTGATTTATTTTGAACTGTTTAGGGACATTTTCATTTCCATTTTTTTTTAGTTTTTTTTCTAAAAATATCAATAAATTTTTATTTGTTGGTTGCGAAAGCTTGAAAATTTAATAGAAGGCTCCTAATATATTGTTTCAAAGGCAGATGAAAAATATTAAAAATCCTGTCACAATTTTTTTTTATAAGCATTTAAAGTTTAAAAATTGACAAAATATGGAAAAATCACGAAAATTAGCAAATTATTTCGAGTTAAGAATTCGTAACAATTTTTCTTTTTAAATCTAAGATGTGAAAATGTAATACAAGATTCCTTATAAGATTATCTACCTTTATCAAAAAAAAAAATGTCTATAAGAAAGTCAAATTAAATTTTTATGAGCGTTTGAACTTCAAATTTTTACAACATTGGATATTCACTCGATTTCTCATGAAGCGATTTCCTTATTTTGTTGTAATTCAAAAACGAATAACTATAGATACATGAAAATTTTATTGAATGTTTATATTAGCATCTCCTATACACCATACAATTTTGAAAATATTTTGACTCTTTTTGAGCTGTTTACGAATTACGGACATTTACAGCTTTCAATTTTTTTTAGTTTTTTTTTCTATAAATATCAATAAAGTTTTATCCGTTGAGCCAAAAAGTGTAAAAATTTAATACAAGGCTCCTGATATATTGTTACAATATCAGTTGAAAAATATTAAAAATACATAGGCACAGTTTTTTTTTATAAACATTTAAGGATCGAATTTTGACAAAATTTATCAAAATCTTGAAAATTATCAATCATTGTAATTAATAAATAATAAAATGTTCAGTTTTTATAGCTAAGGATTGCAAATTTAAAACCAAGCTTCTCATAAATAGTTCATACTGTAACCAAAAAATCTAAAAAATATATGAACACAGTTATTTTTTACAGACATTTTAAATTCAAATTTGGACGAAATTACATATTAAAAAACCTAGAATAACTATTTTAGTTATTTTGTTGTGATTGAATATTGTTATTCGTGAGTACTTGAAACTTCTAAAGTGTACTATTATATATCTATGATAGTATGACGGTTTTTGTTGATGTATAACGCGTTATAAGTATCTAATGGATATTGTGATATGATTAGTTTGGAATTTATTATAGGTACCTATTATAGGTCAATTTTTTGTTTAATACCATAGATATGTATATAATATGTCTTATACATAGAGTGTCATAGACTGACATACCGTCTCCGCTCAGAATCGTTTTTCTTATACAATGATATTATATCGTTGAAATACAATTTAATATCATCCATTATACAGTGACCCACTTGTAACCTACTGTACAGCAGAGCGACACCCACTTGCCCACCTTTTTTTTTTACAGTGGTAGATGACAATATAACATTAGAGGAGTCCGGATGTTTAAATGATGACGAATCAGACATCAGTCTTTTCTGTGTTTCAATAGGTGCTCTTGACAGTGCTTCATCGAGATAATTTTGGGTTATAGGGAAAGATTTGGTTTCTTAGATGTCTTCAGTCCAATCTGATTTAGTTTGATCAAGTATATCAAACGTTCGACTTGTGAGAGAGGGGATATTATCAATTAACTCAGTGTGTTCTACGAAGAGGTCATTGAGTATGTTTGATTTGTTTGAGCTGGATAGTGTATTTTTTTTTTTGTGTATCATCTATATTTTTACAGTTATTTAAGGTGTGTCAACTGGATTTGCATAGGAAACAAGTCACTATGTCATCGGTGAAAAAAATTTTGAACTGACATTAATTTAGCGTAATTACTAACGAGTTTGGAAGTTTAGGAATGTCTTCGTGTTTGATGCATAGTTGTCTTCAATATTAATTCTCGCTTCGATGTTTTTGATTTGTGATGTAGGAAATATGTCTAAATTTTGTAATACGTTATTAATTACTTGGTTGGGTATTGTAACAACACACGTTTCGTTATTATAAACTGTTTATTTTATTACATAACATTTTTAGGTTATCTAATAACTTATCATTACAAAATGTTATCATATCATTACATCTCTCCCCTACTTATGAGTGAGAACTGAAATTTTAATTAAACCTATTAACTAAACAAAGTACAAAATACAAAATAAATTAGTGACAATGTAACAAATTATTAACTAATAGTAATGTTTATCAGTTTAAACAGTGTAATCTTCAAAATGTTTTGGAGTTCTCTTCAGCATTTCACCTCTCCTCGGTTCTTCAGTAGTGATTTTTTAATGTGTGATGCGTTCCTAGTTACTTGTCTGTGGTCATCTCCTCTCCCAGTGATCATGGTTCCCTTGACTTCAACTATCTCCACAGGTTCTGGGTTGAATGGTGTTGAGTATTTATTTACTTCTTTTTGTTTAACTAGTACTGTGTCTCCAACTTCTAGTTCATGCTCTGTTGCTGCATGTCTTGCGTCACTGATTTGTTGCACTTATGTTTTTATTCCTTGTATCGTTTTGTCTTATTCTTGTGTCTGTTTCCTCATCATCATCATCATTTGTCTCTATGTTTTTCATTTCTGGTAACTAAGTCCTAAATTTTCCTCTGAACATTAGTGACGCTGGTGTTGCCTTTGTGGTGGTATGTGGTGTTGTTCGGTATGACATCAGAAACTCATCAATTGCTTCTTCCCATTTCTTTTGAGATATTATTGATGTTTTGATTGCTCTACCTATTGTTCTCATGAAGCGTTCCGCAGTCCCATTCGCTTGTGGCCAACATGGCATTACTTTTCTGTGTTTAATTCCAAATGAATTTAGAAATTAACTAAACAATATCCCATTCATTGGTGGTCCGTTGTCTGTTTTTATGCACTCAGGTAAGCCAAATTCCATGAACATTTTTTTTTAACTCATAGACTACTGCTTCAGTCTTTATATTATTGATTATTCTTACAATTGGATACCTAGAATATTCATCTATTACAACAAGTGTATATTTACCGTTGGGAAATGGTCCACCAAAGTCTAGATCCAAATTTTCCCATGGTCCTGGCGGTAACTCTGAACTCATAATCAGATTTGTACTTGTTTTTGGTGTAGCTGCTTGACATGGAATGCATGTGTTCGTTTCTGCTGTTACCATTTTATTCATGTTTGGAAACCATACTTTGCTCCTTAACAATGATTTTGTTTTTTCAATACCTTGGTGTTCCGTATGTGCCAATTTAACTACTTTCTCTCTTAACGTCTTGGGTATTACTATTTTGTTCTGCTTTAATAATAGTCCATCACTTGTAATTGCCAGCTCATCTTTGAATGGTCTATATTCTGATTCTAGTAAAGCTTTCTCCAATAGTGCTTTTTTTTGCTTTTGTGATCTCCTCGTCATTGTTGTGAACAATATAGCAATATACTTACAGGAAACAAACCTTATAGATAGTGGCTACATTCCTCAGTTCAAAAAGTACAATAATTTCTGTCATAACCGTAAACAATATGCAAGCGCGAGCGGAGGAGTAGCTATACTCACCCACATTAACTTAACTCGCAAAGAAATTCATATACAATCCAACTTAGAAGCTATTGCCATTTCTATTAAAGCTGAATCAGAAATCACTCTATGCAATATATATTCGCCAAACCAAACCAAACCAACTTTAACCACACTGACCTAAGCAACTTAATTAATCAATAACCCAAAAGCTACATTATAGCCGGGGATTATACTGGGGTTCAGAAAAAAAGACTGTAGAGGAAAATCAATAGAAAGAATTCTCGAAGACGACAACATCATACTACTCAATACTGGAGCTCCTACGAGGATGAATCCAGCAACCGGCCAATTCTCAGCAAAAAATATAATAGAATTTTCTTAGGACAAAGAGTTGTATGGTCCCTTCTTCCCGAAATCTACGAAGCGATCATATACCTATACTTATGGAATTTCTAACCACTTGCAGCTCAATTAATACTATACCTACCAAATGGAAACTAAAAAAACCCGACTGGACACTCTTCAGCCAACTAGTCGAACTGAACATAGAAAATTACACAGGACCAACAGTAACAATCGAAGAAAAAATCATACACATCACCGAGTTTATTACAAATGCCGCCAATATAGTAATTGGCAAAACTAACTCAAAAATTAAGTATGCAAGAGTCCCTTGGTGGAACTATGACATCAAAGACTCGATTAAAAAAAAGAACCTAGTACTAAAAATATTTCTTAGATCTGGAAAAGTAGACGGCTTCATTGCACTAAAACAATTAAGAGTAAAAAACAGATATCTAGTAAAAAGGAACAAAATAAACTCAAGACTGTTTTTATCATTACCACTCATTCTGGCAGAGGTCTTATCATAAATAATATACAATGATTATATCTATTTGTTTTAAGACCTCTATAACTTAAAAATATTTTAATTTTCGTTCCTGTATAACAAGCACAATAGACCTAGCTATTCTTTAATATCTATGACTATACTAGCTGTAAGTAACCAATTAAAAAAGTATAGTTAAGATCTTTGTGACCACTTAATCTATGTAAATTATTATTTTGTAGCAAAAGGATTTTTTAGATAGTTTCAATTCTGATCTGGTAGCCCCCGAATTTGCAGTAGACGAACTGACAAAGGCCACCAAGAAGATGTCTTCAGGAAAGGCGGGAGGTACTTCAGGTATCCCAAATGAGATACTAAAGAGGATAGCTCTCGCACAACCTAGAGCCACTCTGAGCATATACAACAAGTGTCTCACGGAGCTCACTTTCCCCTCCATTTGGAAGAAGGCCAAATTGGTTCTTTTGCACAAGGGTCCTGGCAAACCAGTTGAAGCCCCCTCTAGCTTCCACCCTATTTGCCTCCTAGACACTCCGGGCAAGCTGCTGGAGAGACTTATCCTCCAGAGGCTGGATTCCCACCTTGACTCCCGCCGGTCAGGACGGGCTCCAAACCAGTTCGGCTTTCGGAAAGGCATCTCAACGGAGACGGCAGTAGAGGTAGTCACCGGATTAGCAGCACACGCGTCTCAGGGAAATTGGAGGCAGAAGAAGCTTTGCGTCTTGGTCACTCTTGACGTCAAGAATGCGTTCAACTCCTTGCGGTGGCCTTTGATAGATGAAGCACTTAGGGAAAAAGACACTCCGGGGTACCTAGTGCTCATGATTCGGCCATGGCTGCCAGACAAGGAGTTGATCTTAGGTGAGCAAATGACCTCTAAGAACGTGACCTGCGGGGTCCTCCAGGGCTCAGTCCTCGGACCGACCCTGTGGAATGTTGCATACGACTACCTGCTTGACATAGAAATTCCTGAAGGTATCCAGCTGGTCAGCTTCGCGGATGATCTTGCTGTCGTCGGAGTCGCCAAAACGAGTGAGCTTCTGGAAAACCTGGTGAATCCTGTCCTCGAGAAAATCGATGACTGGATGACATCCCGAGGACTCCAGTTAGCTCCCCACAAGACTGAGGCAGCCATTCTGACAAAGAAGTGGGCCTACAACCCTCCTCAGCTCAGCATAGGTGGCATTCCTATCCAGCTAAGCAAGAACCTAAGATACTTAGGTAATTAGGTGTTATACTAGACTCTCGCCTTTCCTTCGTGAAATACGCAGAGACGACAGCAAGGAAGGCGTCCATGTTGGCAGTAGCCCTATCAATGCTAATGCCGAATATCAGTGGTCCCTGTCAGTGGAAGAGGCGACTACTAGCATCGGTAGTGGAGAGCCAACTGCTTTACGCCGCCCCAGTCTGGTCGGAAGCTGCAAGCTCAACGGCCAACATAAGAACTATCTTAAGGAGACCTCAGAGAGTGGTAGCCCTAGGACCATAAGGCCCTACAGAACGGTTTCTGACGAAGCCGCGTTCGTCCTATCAGGCATGCCGCCACCAGACCTGATAGCTGAAGAAAGGGCCAGGATAAAGGCCAGAGTGCTGGAAGTCCCCTTGCCTAGTGACTCTCCGCCCACCAGAAGCAAGATCAAAGTAACCTATAGCACTTATAACCTATAACTTGTATAGTAATAATTATGATTACTTTTTTAAAGTAAAATCCGTTGGTGATTTGAAGTTTGCACACTTGATGAAGTCATTGAATTTTGTCTGCTGTTTATGTTCCATCCACCACCCAGAGAGAATTTAAGAAACGAAGTCATGGTCGATGAAACTCAAAGTTATCAGTTAAAAGGAATTAACGAATACTTAGTACGCATTTTAGGTTCTGTAATCCTCAATTTAAATCTTGGCACTGAAACTCTTACAAAACAATTCCAGGTTATGCATGATGATTTCCCAATCCCTGATGAAGGTGTTTAAGAATATCCGTTCCTTACCGAAAATCAGATCGCAATAGATTATTTAACGTCAAAAATCTTTCAAATTATTACGTATCCTCTAACTTATGCCACGTTCAGAAACCATTGTACCAATCGCCAGCACGAGAACGGAAGGAACAGCTTTAGTATTTCTTTCACAATTTGCACAAGAAAAAACGTTCACCTTGGAAATGTGGTAGACAAAGTTAAGCAAGGAAAAATTTTAGCTATTTCCATCAACACTTCAGAAGAGCTCATTACAATACTACCTTTGAATATAGAAGAAATCGAGTTAGAGGAGTTCCGAAAAACCACCATGTTGATCGCAACAAATACTAACGAAATAACGGAAGACACGCATCACATTGGTCTCATTCGTGAAGCTATACTATATCAAGAGTTAAATGCGGAAGAATCAAATAGTCTCTGGTAGGTGATTGACGAATATCCAGATATTTTCCAGTTAGAGGGGGATTCATTTGCTTCTACCGATGCAATACAGTACGAGATATACCTAAAGGAAGATGCGAAACCTATTAATTGATTGCAATACTCTCACCGTCGGGAGATTGTCAGAAGAATTTAAGAGTTGGAAAGTAATAACATGATACAGTAGTCCGAGTACCCTTGGAACGCACCACTTATTGTGGTCTCAAAGAAACCAAATGCTCAGGGAAACAAAAAATATCGAGTATGTGTTGATTTCAGACCCCTTAATGAACTGTCCATGGGAGATGCATACCCTATACCTAGGATGGACGAAATTTTAGACCAATTAGGAGAGACTACGAGATACTACATTGGATTTGGATCACCAAAGGCAGCTTTCTGGCTATTATAGGAGATTTATTGAGAGATACAGCCAAACCGCGAAACCACTCACAGCACTTTTAAACAAAGACATACCATTTGAATGGTCGACTGAATGTCAAATAGCTTTTGAGAAGCTCAAGCAGAAACTCGTAGAAGCACCAGTATTACAATATCCTGATTTCGAAAGACCATTTATCCTAACCACGAAGGCCAGCCAATTTTGCAATTGGAAGTATTTTGTCACAGGGTACACTAGGACAGGATCGACCTATCGTGTATGCATCTAAAACTCTTAATAAAGCCGAACAAGCATATAGTACGACTGAAAAAAAGTTGCTAAGCATAGTCTGGATAGTAAAAAATATCAGACCTTATCTACTTGAACAATTCAAAATTTACACGAACCATATGCCATTAACTTGGTTGTTTAATGTTAAAGATCCAGGTTCAAGACTTCTCTTTTGGAGATTAAAGTTAGCCGAATATCAATATGAAGATATTTACAAAACCGGAAAGTCCAATACCATTGCTGACGCATTGAGTCGAATAATGGAAGTTAAAGTTGTGCACACTAGGTCTCAACAACAATCGGCTGGATCAATTATAAATTTGAGACTTTTCCACGAGTATATATCGGATAGCGAATGTCAAAATTATCGGAACGCAAGGGTAAAGGAGGTAACTGGAAATCTCTTTGCCGTTTCAGAAGAATTCTATTCACTACACTGCGTGTCTGCTGATCTAAAGCTGAATCGAGGCATCGCCCTGGAATTTCAGACACTTACAGAATTTAAAACTTCAACGTCCAAAGAAAACCGAAGTAGCATACTTTCAATTGGGATCATCATCAACCTCGAAGCAAAGGATACATTTTCGCAAGAGCCAACTTTGGAAGACATGTACATTTCTTTACGGAACATCCGTCATTTTTTTCAAAAATTTGAAATCCAGAATCTAGCCATGTGCAAAATCCGTTGTGGATTAAAACAATTAGACTGACCTACGCCTACTAAACAAAGCGTTGTTGAACTAGGTAAACAGCATATTATAAGTGACCATCATTTGGCAGGATTTGGAGGACGCCACGGAGTCAATCAGACAGTCAAGCGAATTCAAAAACGATTTGATTGGGAGGGGTTAAGTCAAGATGTCACTGATTTCATTAGTAAATGTGTATCCTGTCAAATTAATAAGACATTGTTCTTTATCCTCGCCCTTCAATGTGATCTGACCAAATTTTGGGTAGCATTACCCATGGCTAACAAAGAAGCTAATACAGTCGGGTATCATTTCGTCACCTCATTTGTATGCATTCGAAGCATGCCACAGAATATAATAAGCGACTAAGAAACAAAGTTTCTTAATAAAATCTTTTCCGAAACATGTAAATTAATAGGAGTGAAATGCATAAATGCATCTCCATACTATTCACAAGCGAATGGTTCATTGGAGAGGAGTCATTAAGGAGTTATCTAAGAGAATACTTGAGAGTAGTTGAGACACTACATATATGCAGATCATCAGAATTATGATACCTACAAACCATAAGCCATGTTTACTTACAACTCAGCAGAGCATCAATCTACAGGCATATAACCTTATGCACTCCTCTATGGGAGAACATTACAAGTACCCACATCACTAACAAAACCTCCGGAACCACACTACGACGCTTATCAAGAAGAACTTAAACAGAGACTACGAGAAACTCATCGAATTGCTGGAGAACGTTTAATAAGGAACGAAATCAAAACCAAGGCTAGTTATGATCAAACGCCAAACCCAATAACAATCCATGTCAACGATAGAGTGCATATTCAGGAAAAACCTAAAAAAGGTTAAGTTAAGTTCAAAAATCAAGCCCTAAATAGTTAGGCCCATACGTCGTACTAGAAATCAACGAGATTGAGAATGTGACTATACAGAGAGGAAAACGGAAATCGAAATTTCATAAGAATCTATTGAAAATATTTAACGAGTAGCCACGAGGATTTTTTAATTTGTACATACATTTAATTATTTATTTAAATATGTGAATTTGGTTATTTTTAATATGCCCCTCTTCCTTAACGAAAAACTAATTCATTAATATTAGGGAAGTTCTTGGATCTATTTGCAACTACTTTATAACATAAACAAAATCTTACATGCTGGTAACAACTGTCCCATTAGCAGAAAGCATTACACAATTTCCAAAAAGTCTAATCAGCTTGAATACGTCCCCGAATCACACGGGGATGTACTAAGAATTCAGGGAACATATCAAACTCACAAACACAGAATGGAATCTCATAACTTTTGTGAATTTATGAAATTTTAGTTAAAAATTTCAGTTGTTTAGGTCAACTTATAAAGCCACGGCAGAGGTCTGTACTGATCTACAACACAAAGTTAGTGTAACCGAATTTTGGTATTCATGCAGGCAATTTGATCAATCCGTTAAAGCATATTTATTCGAAATTGAAGCCAATCTCGATAATGTTTGGACAACAATGGGGCAGGATACTGATTACGAATACGAGTTCATCGATGTTTTGGTACTTCATTCAAAAAACTGTAAAAAGTGTTATTCAGCTCAAAATCATTTTTAGATGTAAATTCGATTCTTCAAGGAATTAAGGATCATGGCGAGACAAGTGATTTAGTAGAAAATCAAACTAGATTATTCCAAACGACTATGAGTGAGATTTCAAAATCAATCAGCAATATTTCCGACCATCAACAAAAGCTTAAAGAAAATTTTAAACTTCTACAAACTCAGGCAAACAAAAATGTTATGACAATTAATACATTAATGGTAAAAACTACTTTGTTAGAACAATCTATTATTTTAGAATCACTCCTTAATCAATACGCCAATACGCGTATGAAAAGAAAAATCTCATTTCTAAATATAAATTCAGCAATTCATGGAAAATTCACTCCACAGTATTACCACCAATTAAGCTTAATAAGGAACTTAGAGCGATCCAATTAACTTTACTTGCAGGAACCCAACTAACAGTAGAACCAAAATTACAGAATGTCAAAGAGTTTTTGTCAATCTCGTCTGTTTCCATATTACAAAACGATTTTCTTCTCATCTTTGCACTGCATTTCCCTATAATCCCTGTAAATAGCTACGATATGTATCATAATATTCCATTACCTTTTTATATGAATGATGATAATTCGTCACTAGATAGCGTTATGGTTCAAAGGAATTCACTGTCTTCGTGATTATAATATTATCAAAGCAAAACTGCCAAAACGGTTAATAATTAATGATGTATGTTTTTTTATATTTTTTTTTCGTGTCTGTGTAGGTATACGATTAGTAGTCGAAATAATGAATCGATTTTCAATTTCAGTATCAAGTTCGATGGGAAAGTGAATCTGGTTGGTACTTTTGGGAGGTCAAAATTTAAAATTCCCAATAGTTTTCAAAATAACGCGCCCGGAAAAAAAAATAAAAATTATGGAAAACGGGAATTTTCACTGAATGTTTATTTTTTATATTAGTCTTTTCTACACATGAAAAAATTTTCAAAATATTTTGACTTTTTTTGAAATATTTACGGATATACTCAGTTTCCAACTTTTTTTAGGTTTTTTTGCTATGAATGTCAATTAAACTTTATTTGTTGGGACAAGATTACTCATAAGTTTGTCTACCTTTCTCAAAAAAAAAAAATGTCTACAAGCAAATCAAATTAAATTTTTATGAGCGTTTGAAGTTCATACTTTTACAATATTGGATATATACTGGATTTCTCATATAGCGATTTTGTTATTTTGTTGTATTAAAAAACGAATAACTGTAGATACTTGAAAATTTCACTGAATATTTATATTTTCATTTTATGTACACCATAACATTTTGAAAATATTTTTACTCTTTTTAAGCCGTTTACGGACATTGTCAGTTTTCAATTTTTTTAGTTTTTTTTCTATAAATATCAATAAAACCTTATAAAAAAATGCTGTTATAGAAAATTGTAACATTTTTACTGTCTCAAAAGTAAATTTTATAGTTAATACAATTTTATTTTTTGGTCAAAATATCGTGAAAATGTAATATAATAAGACTTCTGATATATTGTTATAATATCAGTTGAAAAATATTAAAAATACATAGGCATAGTTTTTTTTATACGCATTTAAAGATCGATTTTTAACAAAATTTAATAATTATTTTGTAGTTAAAAATCTTTGAAATGTTCAACTTTTATAGCTAAGGATTGAAAATTTAGAATAAGGTTCCATATAAATTACTTTTTTCACATCACAATAATATCATCAAAATATGTACTTAGTAATATCATAGGCTGACTGGACGTTTTCGCTCAGAATCGTTTTTCTTATACAATGATATTGATGTCCTATCCTAAATACCTATTTATAGATCTAATATATTTATATTGATATATTCTGCTGCGGAGCCCCCCACTTAAATATGTTTGGAAAATTAGCTGGGTCACTTACTTGAAAATTTCTGGATACTAACGCCTAATCGGTGCTAAATTAATTACTTTAATCACAATAATATCATAAAATATACATAGGTGATAGATAATTAGATAATATTACCTATAGCCTATAGGCTGACAAACCGTCTTCACTCATAATCGTTTTCATATACATTGATTTTATATCATTGAATTCAAACATAACGACATCCATTACAGTGTCTCACTTGTAACCTATACAGTACAGCAGAGCGACATATACCTAAAACCTAACCACTATTTTTAATAATTATAATAGTTATATAGGTATTATGAAACCGATTGCAAATATTTAAATAAACAAAACAATATTCATTATGTGAGATATACCTTTTACTCTTTAGCTAGGTAATTATAAGGGTTGAAAAACAATAAATAAATATAGAGATCCCATTCGTCCCGTATTTGAATAAAGCGACCCTGTGGCCCGACAAAAGTACAAATTAACACGTCTTTTGTCTCGTATTTTAGATATTAAATCCTGTATGTAGGTAGGTACTTATTTAAAAATTGTTTCAAACATTTATTTTTTCTTATTAATTAGTATTTTAAAATGGAAATGATGATTGATAAATATTAATATATAAATAACAAATTCTTAAATTCTTATTAATACCTAGTTTTAATAATTATATTTACCTATTTCAAGAATTCAATATTGTGGTTAAGTGAGAAAAAAGAAATGTTACATTGAGGCCAAATTTAATCTTGGTTATCAAATATTTACCAAGGATTTGTATGAGAAATATCGCATATTATTTATAATTTTATCAAATGTAAATTAATAATAATATACATCATATTGTTAATATAGGTCTGATAACAAGTCACCTAGTAACTATTTAATACCTAAGTAAAATAATCTATTAAAATGCGAATTTTGGAAAATCCTTTCTTAGTGGCACACCTTTGGTGGTACGAAGGTTAAATAGGATTTATAGAATGGACGAGTCATTCATGGGGAACTGAAAGGAGCATATTTCGAAAGGCAGGTTACTGATAATAGTTATGTACATTTTAAAATTTTAGGTTACTGTGAGTAAAACTTGGGTGGAACCTTGAAATAGGAACCTATTAAATGTTTCATTTTTTTATCGAAAATTAAAAACGCATATGTACAGGTATAGACTGTATAGTAGGTAACTACCTAATACTAAGTATGAACCAATACATTCGTCAACTGTGCATGTGTTGTATCCGTCTTACACACGCATGGCATAGACAAAACGATTCAACAGCGTATAACTCACTCAATTTTGGTTCTAGAGTAAAAATACCTAATATGAAATAGTATCGTGGCATTATTTCTGAGGGGAAGAAGTTGCGTTTTTTTCATTATTCGAAATAATGTTCATTATATCGATTAGAAATTGCAAAAATGACAACAGTTTTAAATGACGTTTAAATTTTTTTTTTAAAAACTCAACGACTTGCTCTTCAAAATATTGTCATGTTTTAGTTTTGTAATAGGTGTTTTTATTCTTACATCAAAATTGAGAGAGTTTTACACAG